TATGGGGTCCTCTGCAAATGGCGCGCTGAGTGGCAGGACAATTGTTTTCCTCCTGCCAACAAACAACAGATTTTGCCACCAAAGCTGATTCTTTTGCAATGTGGTCTCCTGATTTGGACAAGACCATCCAGGAACGACCTAAGTAAATAAATAAATAAAACATTTACTTAAAAAAAGAATAGTGGTTATGGAAAAATTACTTATTCTCAGGGTTCTCCTATTAATAAAAAAAAGTCAAATTCTAAGACAACCCTGGAACAACCGTTTATCTACCTGAGGAGTGAAAACCTAATGGTTGCAATTCTCTATATGAGTGGCTAGAAGGTCAGGTCTCAATCTTTTCCTTTTTTCTGTTCTGTTGGAATCTAATTTGTTGCTAGCAGATTTGAAAGAGAAGGAACATGGTTTGAGAATTTCAGGCTTGTTGGAGGGGGCTGAAATAGGCATGAATTTAAAAGACTTACAGAAGACAGAATGATGAATGATGAACTGGAATTTCTTAGGAAGATTGATGGAGATTGGGGGATGGTCTTATTATATCCAATCACAAAACAATTGTCAAGAGATGCTACATTTCAACTTGTAGGAATATTCTTTGAACAACAAATTCTGTGAAGATATCTACAACAGAGATGTATGAGTTTGAGAAATGATATGCAATCGTTGGGAAAGATCCCATTAAAAATTTTAAGGAGAAGTTTTATAATTAAGAATCAATTGAGGATATTTGATCCTGGACAGATCAGAGATAATGACTGCAGTATTTATGGTAGTTCAGAAGCCTCTGTGGACATTCTATGACTTAAATACAATAATAGATTGTTAACAGAGCGATTTAAAGTTTAACTTTCATATTGGCTTTACCTGTTAAATTTGTACTATATGTAGTAGATTGATGCCAGGTGAAATGATTGGGTAAACAGAAATGTAGAAGTTCATAAGCTATGGGCCTGTTTCGCAAGGGAGGGAAACTATTATTCTTGAAATATATTTATCAGTATTCAACTAGGGGAAATTTATGCATATATATTGTTTTTATGCACATTTTTATGTCTTGTTTAACTATGTTTTGTTCTTGTTCTTGTTCTTGTTTTTTCTTTTTCTTTTTTTGGAGTTTGTATTTTAACTTTGTGAGCTGTATGCAATGAAATTTCATTTTAATGTATGCCGATTAGTGAAATTGAAAGTGACAATAAAGTTATTTATTCTATTCTATTCTATTCTATTCTATTCTATTCTATTCTATTCTATTCTATTCTATTCTATTCTATTATCTTTGTGAATAAAATAAAACATTTACTTAAAAAAAGAATAGTGGTTATGGGAAAATTACTTATTCTCAGGGTTCTCCTATTAATAAAAAAAGTCAAATTCTACAGTAATTTGTGTGATTCCTTATATAAATAAGAGAATACTTCAAAGCTGTGAGTGGCAGCAACTTGGCACTTGCTATTATCTCAGAACCATTGTACCATATCTTTCAAAAATCCTGGAGCATCAGGGAAGTACCTGATGATTGGAAAAGGGCTGATGTGGTTCCCATCTTCAAGAAAGGGGAAAAAAAACAGACCCAGGAAAGTACAGACCAATCAGTCTAACATCAAGATCTTGGCAAGATCTTGGAAAAGATAATTTAAAAAACTGCGAACAACTAGAAGCAAACAAAGTTATAACCAGTAGCCAGCATGGGTTTGTCAAAAACAGATCATGCCAAACCAATCTTATTTCATTCTTTGATAAAGTGACTAAATTAGTAGACCAGTGAAACACTGTGGACATAGTATATTTAGACTTCAGTAAGGCATTTGACAAAGTAGACGAGACTTGGTTTTGGCTAGTCTAAAGAAAAGACATAAGGGAGACATGATAGCACTGTTCCAGTATCTGAGGGGCTGCCACAAGGCAGAGGGGGTCAGGTTGTTCACCAAAGCACAGATGGAAGGACGAGAAATGTTTGGAAACTGATTAAAGATAGAAACAACCTGGAATTGGGGAGAAACTTCCTGACAGTGAGGACAATCAACAGCTTATCCCCAGAAATAGTGGGTGCTCCATCACTGGACATTTTTAAGAGTAGACTGGACATTCACCTGTCTGAGACGATATAGGTTCTCCTTCCTTGATCAGGGGGTTGGACTAGAAGACCTCCAACGTCCCTTCCAGCTCTATTCTATATTATAAATTCTATTTTAGGCATTAAGCCACAGTATCTGAAAGAACACTTCTTCCTATATATTCCTGCTTGAACAGTTACTTGATGAATGATAGACAGGTGATTTGTTGAGCGTGATTCCATATGTAGCCAGTACAAATCACGTTGACAAAAAATTATGAAGCGCTCATTCTCATATCTTGCAATTCCCAGACTTTGTACTTGTGTCCTTATATTGAATCCAAGTATGTAAGTTGTGTGGTTTGCTTTAAAATATCACAATGCACTTTTTATCATTTCCTCCATTTCTCTCCCCATGAATTCCAATGAATGGTTCTTCTCTGGTACATTCTTTAGCTCTGCAGTTCCCTCTTGGCAACTGGTTCTTATTTATGATAGTTGCAGTGTCCTGGGATCATGTGATCCCCTTTTGCGAACTTCTGACAAGCAAAGTCAAAGGGGGAAGCTAGATTCACTTAGCATCCATGTTACTAACTTAACAACTGCAGTGATTCACTTAACAACTCTGGCAAGAAAGGTCATAAAATTGGGCAAAACTCACTTAATAATTGTCTCACTTAGCAACATAAATTTTGGGCTCAGTTGTGGTTGTACGTCAAGGACTATCTGTAAATAACTGTAAATAAGTTATTTAGTATACATTTTTGGATTACATATTTTAACAGCAAGCTCCGTGGGCAAAATTTGTTTTGAAGTGTAGCATGTATACATCAAAATATGTTATATGAAAAGTATTGTTATTTTTCATGCCTCGTATTATCATTTTGTCTAATACATACACACACACATGTAGAACATATTTGTATGTATGTCTGAATTTTTACTGTTTGCAAAAATACACTTTTACCTGAGAAACATATTAATTTATTTTCAATAGCAACAACAGCCATATTTAGACAATTGGTGCCCCAACTGAACCAAGATAATGAATGAGCCTCTGGGTCTGCTGCAGGAAATGTTATTGTCCAGAATTTCCTATTTGAACCAAACTAAGATATTGTTATCAATAGCTTCAAAATATGCCAGTTTATATTTGAAGCTGGCATGGTATTCTGACTTGTTTTGAAGTTGATAATGACAGTTTCTTGTTTTGCACTAAATGATAAAGTATAGCTACTGAAAAACTGTCTAATTTATTTTTAGTGATATAAAGGCAAAGGAAAACAGGTGCAAACACACCCAAAAATTTCTTCCTGATTGCTGTTTTAAGCTATTATATTGATAACTGGAACTATGTTGAAGAGTCTTACAGTTCATTGAAGATTAATACAACTTTTATAGGTAATCCTTGCTTAACGACCCTAATTGTGACGCTACCATTAAGTGAAATCATTGCTATATGGGAAATCACATGACTGCAGCTATGCTTTCCAGCTGGAAAGAGGCAAGATTACTCAGTTTCACATCTTTGGCTTTTGTTCCCCCTCCCATTGGAATACTCAAATGCCTGAATGCTATCTTGTACGTATCAAAAGCAGTGTAAGCACCCACAGCCTAGGGCTGGGAGCTGCAAGCATTCTATACAAATAGCTTACTGTCTTGAAATCCCTTTCTCTCCAATCTCTCTGCTGTACAAGGGGGAGGGGGGGAAAGCAATTTCTATAAGCATCTCTCCTTTGCCTGACCCTTTCCTGTTGATGATACAATCACTTCCCTCTCAATATGTTGAAGAGCAAACAGCTTATTCTCTTGAAATCTCTTTCTTTCCAATATCTCTGTTATAAGGGCGGGGGGGGGGGGAGAAAAAGTAAGTGATTACTGTAGACAGTCTCTTCTTTGCCTGGCTCTTCCTCCCTCCCCTATAGAGCAGAGAGGTTCGAGAGGATGAAAGTTTAATAGAGTAAGCTGTTTGTTCTTCTGCACACCAAGAGCAAAGCAATCCTGCCAGCAGCAGGAAAGGATAAGGCTAAGGAGTAATTGCCTACAAAAATACCTTGCTTCTTCCTGCTCCAAAGTGGAGAAATTGGAAACAGTAGCCACCACTGCAGGCACTTCCAAGAGCTGGGCTTCTAGGGCTGCTCTGGTAAGTGAGGCCGCGTGGCTAACCCAGGACCAGGCTGGCACAGAGGGCACAACACATCCTGCAGCTTAAGCTCTGCACCACCATCGGCCCATTCAGTCCCAGCATACCTGAGGCTGCCATTCCCACGCTGCAGATGCGATTGCATTGATTTTGATGTGTAGAAAAGTAAACAGCTTGTTTTCTTGCAATCTCTTTCTCTCCAATCTGTAAGAATTATGCACAAGATAATGCATATTGACTATAATAGTCATCGCATAATTGAGGGACTCTGTGACGGTCATAAATGGACTATAAAATTCTTCAGCACAGTTGAAACTTTGAACAGTGCTGAATGAATGATAAGCAAGGACTATTTATAGTATGCATTTCTATGAAGCAGAATCTATACATAGGCAATAATCTGTTTGCATCCAATACTCTTTTTATTACTTTATTTTGTTTTATTGTATTGTATGCAATTATTTATTGTATTTTACACACTATTGTATATTCTGTACCTGTGGTATACTGTGGTTATAACAATAACCATCTGAGGTTACAACAATAAACTTTTTTAGAAAGCATCATGAATTCAAAGGTTTTGAATCATTTTATTATTTTAAGAACACAAATGCCTGTCCATGAGTCAATAATATAATTACTAATTTGATGACCTTCTACCAGAAGTTTACAGCTGACAATCAGTTATTATTGTGGACATATTTGCATTAAATTCAGTTCATTCTATAATCTTCTCTGTGATCTAGATAGATTTTCTTTAATGGAAAAGTATATTAATTAAGGATTTTGCTTTGTTTTTTGCAGTTACCTCATCGTCGAGTGACATTCTCTGCAGCCAATCAGGCTCAAGATCTGCAGGATCCCTCCCAGCACAGTTACTATGACAGTGGCCTTGAAGAGTCAGAAACACCAAGCAGCAAATCTTCATCAGGGCCTCGAATAGGGCCTCTGGCTCTACCCGAGGACCACTATGAGCGCACCACACCTGATGGCAGCATTGGTGAGATGGAACATCCTGAGAATGGTAAGAACATTATAGCAAATTAAAAAGCCCTCTAGTAAAGTATATCTAATTATTGTTTGGCAAAAAGTTTGTAAGGTCCCACTTCAGCTAACCACCCAAGAAAGTAGAACTCTTGAAACAGGTATTGTCTCAAAAGGATACTTTTATTAGGGGTCAGTGACAGTAGAGAAGTCAAGCCGAGATCTGGGGGAAATCCTGTGCAAACAGTATAGTTAAGCTGGCAATATTCCTCCTCCTACCAAAGTCATAATGTCCATTTGAAATCCAGCCAATCCATAGGTGGTCTGATGAGTGGGTAATTGGCACAGTTGGCGCACATCTCAAGGTCTTCTCCAGTTTCGTTTCTCTGTAACCGTTTCCCTGATAAGGGAGACACATTCCTTCCTCAAGGGGATAGAGGCAGGAGGAGAGAGTAGAAAACGAAAGTTATCCCAAGTGAGAGTAAGCTCCCCCTCCCCCCAGCAGAATGGCAGGCCCCCAAAATAGAATATATATGCATGGAAAACGATGAGAGTTTGGGAACCTGACATACAGCCTCCCTAGAAGAACGGGAAATTCACCTAGAAAACAGAAAGGAAAGGGAACAACAACACAAAAAGTCAATGAGGTTTATCGGGATATTTAGAATGGAACTGTTGTAAAAGCTTAGCGGCTCTAACATGTCTCTTATTCACCCACTCATTCTGGGCAGAAGGGAGGTTTTTCCAAACTACCAGGTACTGTGTCACTCCATGGTTTGTACGAGAGTCTAAAATGTCTTTTATTTCAAAGTGTTGTTCTCCCTCAACCATGATAGGAGGTGGCACTGGGGATGCAGGAGGTCTGAGATTTGAGGTAACCTCTTGTTTGAGCAAACTGCAATGGAAAACAGGGTGGATTTTCCGTAGATTCTTTGGCAAGTCTAGCTCAACAGTCACAGGATTGATGATGTATTTAACTGGGAAAGGTCCTATAAACTTAGGACCTAATTTCTTTGAAGGTTGCAGGGACTGTAAATACTTTATAGAAAGGAACACTCAGTCTCCCACTTGATATAGCTTTGTTCTACCCTTCGTTTATCAGCTTGGGCGTTATAAGCCTCCATGGCCTCATCCAGGGCTTTCCTGACCACTGGCCAGGTGTTTTGCACTTGTTTGATCCACTCCTGCAAGGAGAGGATTTCAGGTTCTTTGGTGGGGAGCTCAGGTATGGCCCCAAAGGTTTGGCCATTTGCTACTTGAAATGGAGTAAACCCAGTACTTGAGTGTACAGCATTATTGTAAGCAACCTTAGCAAACGGTAGCAGGTCGGCCCAATTGTCTTGTTGATCATTAATAAAACATCTCAGGTATTGTTCTAAAACTGAGTTAAGTCTCTCTGTTCCCCCATTCATTTGAGGATGGTGGGAAGATGATAACCCTTGACTAGAACCCATCAAGTCCAGAAAAGCCTTCCAGAACTTAGAAGTGAATTGAACCCCCTGGTCTGAAATTATACGTTGTGGAGCCCCATGAAATCGATATAGGTTTTGCACAAAGAGTTTAGCTAAAGTTTTTGCAGTTGGAACCTTGGGGCATAGAATGAAATGAACTTGTCTGGATAACACATTCGTTATGACCCAGATCATACTGTTTCCAGCACTTTCAGGTAATTCTACAATGAAATCCATAAAGATCTCTCTCCAGGGTGCTGACGGACTGGTTACCGGCTGCAGCAATCCTGGAGATTTCCCTTGCCACCTTTTGGCTGCGGCGCATGTGGGGCAGCTGGCCACATAGCTTTCTATGTCCTTTTTCAATGCAGGCCACCAAAATTGTCTCTTAATAAGATGTAATATCTTTACAAAACCAAAGTGTCCAGCAGTTTTTGAATCATGTCCTGCTTTTATCACTTTAAATCTCAATGCTGCTGGAACATAGAGTTTCTCCCCAATCCATGCGAAACCATCTTTTAACGCACACAGGTTATTATGGTTATGAAACCATTCATCTGTTTCTAAGGCAGTTTTAAATTCCTGTAATAAAGACTTTCCAACAGCACCCACTGGTGATTACAGGAGCCGCTAGTTGATAAGGATGCAGAAATGGTTTGGCTACTTCTGCTTTCTTGCTGGTAGCCTGGATAATGCATCAGCTAGAAAATTCTTTCCCCCAGGGAAGTAGTGAATTGTAAAATTAAAATGATGAAAATGCTGGGATCACCTTGCCTGCTTAGGGGAGAGTTTTCTGGGTGTTTTCATGGCTTCAAGGTTCTTATGGTCAGTCCATACTTGGAATTGTATTTTGTTTCCTTCTACGAAATGTCTCCAAGTTAGTAAAGCCCACCATACAGCATAGACCTCTTTCTCCCAAGCTGCCCACCTCTGCTCAGCCTCAGACAGTTTCCTCGAGGTGTAAGCACAGGGCTGTAATTGTCCTTCTTTATTTCTCTGCAGCAAAACAGCTCCCACAGCTACATCACTGGCATCAGCCTGAATTATAAATGGTTGGTCCAGATGTTTTAAAAACAGGATGTTTTAAAAACAGCTCCGTAGAAAACAGTCTTTTAAGTTTCTCAAAAGCGCTTGGTGTTCTCCTGTCCATTACAGCGGTTGACTGGGTTTTGGCTTATCCCCCTCTTATCCTAGGAAACTTTGCAGTTGTTTCCTGGTTTTCAGGGTTGCCCAATCTAAGACTGCCCTCACTTTCTCTGGGTCCATCTCTATTCCTTCATTTGATATGCGATAACCCAGGTAATCAATACAATCTTTGTGAAATTCATATTTTGATAGCTTGGCATACAGTTTGGCAGAGTGTAGTTTTTTCAGTACCACTCTGACTAGCTTAATGTGCTCATCTTTTGTTTCGGTGTAAATAAGGATATCGTCCAGGTAAACTAGGACCCCTTTATACAAGTGATCACATAGGACTTCGTTGATCAATTGCATGAATACTGCAGGGTGCCCCTGTAACCCAAAGGGGAGAACTTTAAATTGGAAGCAATCCAATGAGCAATTGAAAGCAGTTTTCCACTCATCTCCTTTCTTTATTCTTATGCGATAATAAGCCTCTCTCAAGTCCAGTTTTGAGAAAAAAATTCCTTTCAATAGGTGCGCTAACATGTCTTTCATTAAAGGTACTGGATACATGTTTTCCATGCACACAGCATTCAGGGTCCTATAATCAACGCAGAGACAAAGAGAAATGGCTCTTCGCTCTAAGTTCCTTTTGATAATTTTTTCCAGTTCATTCAACTCCCTAGGAGCCATCAAGTACATTTTTGGTTTTGGCAATTTCGCCCCTGAGATTATTTCAATTGCACAATCTATGGGCCGGTGAGGGAGGAGTTCGTCCATCCTCTGCTCGCTGAAGGCTTCAGCCAAGTCTTGGTATTCCATTGGGAGGCTTTGCAAGTCTGACTCACTGAGGGCAGAGGCAAAATCACTATGTAATCCACATCTCCCGCCAGTCAGCTGCTCCACCTTCCAGAGCCAGGGTGACCACACAAACTTTCTCGACATTGGTAGGCAGTGTTCTCCCATAGATTTGCATATTTAGGTGAACACTTGTGCCAGGAAATATCCCAATCGCTTCGGATCTCCATCAAACTTCACTCGGATTGGAATTGGTTTCACCTCGGCTGGCTGAACTGGTCTGCCTCTGGCTCCTTGAGACGGACAGCCCCGCCGCTGTACCACCTCCTGGACTCCAGCCGCTGCTGTCTCTCCGACCTCCGATTCTTCCTCCTCTGATTCCCCCTCCGACTCTTCGGCTTCCTCCTCTGATTCCCCCTCCGACTCATGGTGTAAGGACCCACCCCACTTTGCATCTTAAGAAGACAGAACTCCTGGAATATTTCTTCCAACAGGCATCTTTATTAAGAGAAAGCTGGATGTAGGCGTTCTAGACAGGACTTGGGTTCGAGCTCTCCACTTCAAGGTTTTAAGGGATCCCCCATTAGTCACCCCCCCATAACCCCCTTTTCCCAGCGACAATTCTAGGCATTACATTCTCACCCCCTTTTCCTCATTGCCGGGAGGAACTTCAAAAAGGATTACATGAAAGCTAATGACCCCCATTGTTATTGTTAGTCCATTTGGTGATATCCACCTCCAGTCCCTTTGAAGTAGGCTGAAGGAAGTGAGGGCCATAAAGCCCCTTTGTT